TGCCATCACAGCTCATAGCAACCTACAACTCCTGGGCTCAAGCAAGTCTCCTGCCTCAGCCTCCCAAGTAGCTGGGATTACAGGCCCCTGCCACAATGCCCGGCTGTTTTTTGATTGCAGCTGTCATTGTTGTTTGATGGGCCCAGGCTGGATTCGAATCTGCCACCTTAGGTGTATGTGGCTGGCGCCTTAGCCACTTGAGCTACAGGCGCCGAGCTTTGAAAACTTTCAAGCTTTGAAAGCAAGGCCGCAATAGGAGTTTAAATGCATGAGAATCAGAATGTAAATTTTTCGTTCATAAGAACATGATTCCACTCAGAATTGTGTTGATAAATATTCCTTTGATAATAAAGTTGGTTAGAAGAACAAATGTCTAAATTTGTAAAATTTTGTCCTGCTCTTTTCCCAGTTAAACAATAAAGGGAGAATCTTATTTTAACTAGGAGTCATTTTAAAGTATATTTTATCCATAAAAGTGCCTGATACTTTTGAAATTTTGGGAACAGAAAATAATAAACATAGCAATTAAATTTACGAACCCTGGAAGACAGATTGCACAGGCTCTATCCAAGCTGCCCTTCTGCTTAACTGTGCCATGTCACCTTTCTGATCTTCATTTTGTTTGTTTGTTTTTTAAAGTATAAAACTGATCAGCAGTATCTCCTCCCTCATGATTTTATGGCTAAAATGAGATAATGAATATGAAGTTCTTAGGATAGAATTAGTTACTATAACTTACAGTCTCAAGAGTTAATTATCCTATTGACATAGCACCTGACATTTTCACCTGGCTATCATTTGATATGATAGATCTATTTTGATACTGAGGTCTTTTTAACAGAACATTTACACATGGCCATTTGACTCAGGAATATTTTGATATGGCCATTACAAAGAAATCATTAAACTTTCTGGCTTTGTAAAAATTGCCAATCATTGTTGGAATAGACATCTTCGCTGTTTATCTCTGAACATCTTCCCATTAAGTCTCTATCTGCGGAGGCGAGAGAAAGTGAGAGGCTTACTCTAGTGAGGATTAGGAATAGGTTAAGGGTAAGGAGGCTGAAAGGTCAGAAATGGAAGATGATCTGGAAACTTTGACATACTCACTACTTGATTTGTTTTAATCATTAATCATGTCCACATAGTCTGGTTCAGTCAGAAAACAACCAAGAGACTGAGAATGTAGAGATGGTTTGCATTCTGCCACTTGCAGTGGTCTGACTTTGACTAAGTTACCTTTTTATTTTTTTTTACTTAGTTTTTTTATCTGTAAAATAAGGATGATTTTATCCTTCATTTTGTTGGGAGAATTAAATGAGAAAATCTATGCTAAGTACTTGGTATAGCTTCCTCCCTGTTGCCTCCCTTGCCAGGCTTCCTCCCTGAAGCCCTGAATTTTTTTGACCCAAAAGGTCCTTTGAAGAAGGTGAATCTATCCCTTAATGATACATTACTTAATAGCTGTTCACCTACAATTTTTTTCCAAAGGAACTCAAAAATAATAACAATTCTTCTATAGATGCTTTTGTATTTTTGAATCATAAAGCATGTGATTAATATAAATGCTTTTAGTTTAAAATGAAGGTTTTTTTATTTTAGATGTTGCTATTGTTGAAGTTACGTAGTAGTTTTGCTTAAATAATGTAGTATACCTATGCCATAGTTGTGCCACACCTAAACACAATTATGTTTATGTGTTTGGAATTCTGTCCTTGCTTGTTAGTTAACCCACTTCTAGCTGCCTGTCCATTTTTTTCTGCTACAAATATATTTTCTAAGAGTTTTTATTTTTTAGAGAAGATTTAGGTTTAGCTAAAACCAAGATTTTACATATACCCCTTACCTTCACACCTGTGTAGCCCTCCCATTATCAACATACGCCACCAGAGTGGTACAGGTTTTGAAAATTGACGAACCTACAGTGATTGGCACATCTTTATCACCTAATGTACATGCTTTACCTTAGGGCTCACTCTTGTCGTGGGTTTGGATAAATGTATAATGACTCATGTCAACCATTATACCATCATATGGAATAGTTCCACCACTCTAACAATCCTCTGTGCTCTGCCTAGTCATCCTTCCCTTCCTGCTAATCCCTAATTCTTTATAGTCTCCATAGTTCTGCCTTGTCCAGGATGTCTTATTGTTCTTTATAGTTGAAATCTTACAAAATGTAGCCTTTTTCAGATTGACTTCTTTCACTTGATAATGTGAATTTAAAATTCCTCTGTATCTTTACACAGCATAATAGCACATTTCTTTTTAGTGTGGAATAATATTCCATTGTCTGGACATACACACCTACCAAAGGACATCTTGGTTGCTTCCAGGTTTTGACAATTATGAATAAAGCTGCTATAAATATTCAAGTGCACTTTTTTGTGTGGGCATACGTCTTCCACTCCTTTGGGAAAATACCAAGAAGTAGGATTGCCAGATCGTGTGTAAGACTATTTTAGTTTTGTGAGGAAACCACTGAACTTCTTCCAAAGTGGCTGTACCATTTTGCATTCCCACCAGCAACGGATTAGAGTTTCTGTTGCTTCACATCATCACCAGCATTTAGTGTTGTCAGTGCTCTGGATTTTGGCCATTCTAATGGTTGTATAATGATATCTCCTTGTCATTTCAAATTGCACTTCCCTGATCATATATGATATGGAGCATCTTTTCTTTCATAGGCTTATACGATATATCTGTATATCTTCTTTGATTAAGTGTCTGTTAAAGTCTTTGGCCCATTTTTAAGTTGGCTTGTTTGTTTTCCTGTTGTTATGTTTTAAGAGTCCTTTGTGGGCTCAGCACCTGTAGCTCAGTGTTAGGGTGCTGGCCACATACACTGGGTCTGGCGGGTTTGAACCCAGCCCGGGCCTGCCAAACAACAGTGACAACTACAACAAAAAAATAGTCGGAGGTCGTGCCGGGCACCTGTAGTCCCAGCTACTTGGGAGGCTGAGACAAGAGAATCACTTAAGCCCAAGAGTGTGAGGTTGATGTCAGCTGTGATGCCACAGCACTCTACCGAGGGTGATATAGAGAGACTGTCTCAAAAAAAAAAAAGTCCTTTGTGTATGCTGAATAACAAATATGTCTTTGCAAATATTTTCTCTTAGTCTGTAGCTTGTCTTTTAATTCTCTTGACACTGTCTTTGGCAGAGCAGAACAGATATTTTTAATTTTAACCAAGTCCAGCTTATCAATTCTTTTTTTTCATAGATCATGTTTTTGGTGGTGTTTCTGAAAAATCATTGCCAAACCCAAGTCATTTAGATTTTTCCCTGTGTTTTCTTCTAGGAGTTTTATATTTTTGCATTTTACATTTAGATCTTGATCCATTTTAACTTAATTATGTCTAGATGCTTTTTTTGTGGTATGTGAATATTCTGTTGTTCTAGGACTATTTGTTGAAAATAATTTTTTTCTCCATTGTATTGCTCTTGTACCTTGTTGTCAAAGATTAGTTGACTATATTTGTGTGACTCGATTTTTGCCATCTCTGCCCTCTTTCATTGCTCTTTTTTTCTTTTACTAATACCACACTGTCCTGATTCCTCTAACTTTATAGCAAGTCTTGAACCTGTCATGTGACTTTTCCCCATTTCATTACCTGAAAGAGCTTATAAGTCCTTTAAGTAACTTAGGATATTCAGCATTCTAGTCCTCTCTCACTTTCATTGGCCTTTGTGAGAAATTCAAAGCTCTTCAACTCTATGTTTCATGTTCCAGATTGTAGGAGATCATAGAGTTTTCTAGATTCCAAGCCATGGAATCTTCTTTTGGATCATTGTACTCCATATACTGTTGTGAACTGTAATGGTTTACTAAGCAATTTCAGATCTCTTATCTCATCAAATCTCTCATTTCTGTCACCATTATTTTACAGAGAAGTAAACTGAAGCATTGGAAGGCATACAGTATAGCCAAGATCACAGGTTTCCAGGGAGTTATCGGTTCTTCTTTTTTAGCACATTAAGTGCACTGTTACTTCACACTTTCTTCTGCCTATGAAGAAAGATTGGGAAGGGGGTGGGTGTGCTGGGCCAGTGCACAGATCACGTGTTTCTGCCTTCTCCAACCTCCTCAAGATAATTTTCTTTTTCTCTCCCTGTGCCAAACCTCTAGTTCACTCTAGTCAAACTTCTAGTCCACTCTAGTCAAACCTGTAGTAAAATCTCTAGTCCACTCTGTGTCAGGTGAATACTTTTTTACCATGATTATTATTTTCTTGGATTTTTGCCCCATAAAGTGATACTTAACATTTCTGCTATTGGATCAAAGACATTATTTTTGAAACCCATGGATTGTAAAAAATTGGAGCTGGTTAGAAGCCTTTTGGTGGGGCTATTTGTTAAGATGTGCTGCAGTGAAGTACAAGGTTGGACAATTAAGTTTGGGAACTCATCCCAGAAAAAGTGCTATATATTGCTGAATACAGTACAGTCACCGGATATCCAAGGGGAGCACTTCAAAGGTGACCGTAGTAATATTCAGCAATGAGGTATATAGCTTTTTTTCTAGGATAAGTTCATGAACTTAATTGTCTGACCTGGTGTAAAGATATATAGCCATGTGGGAACTATGGGAGAAGTCAAAGACATAGAATACCTACCAAGGAGCCTCTTAAGTAAATGAATAGTCATGTTATCAGACACTCACATATGTAAATGTGAGTATGGATGAGTGGGTGTGTATTATTTTCCTAATGCTGAATCAGTGGGGTTATTTCATTCCAGCCTTTGGACATTTGGTAAATTGTCTATATTAAAGTTATTTTTTGTATATTTAAAACTTCACTTTTCAACTGAATATTTCATTGTTTGCATAGCAGTCAAACTTGATCCTGAATTTATTTAGAGAGAGGACCTGACTCTTGGCTGTAGAGCATATGTGAAAATCCCACTGACTTGTGCCTGGTGTGATTCTGTAGGTGTGCATGTGGCTGCCCATCTGGTGAATGCCCTCAACTTCTCTGTGAATTACAGTGAGGATTTTATTGATCTGAATGCAGCAAGATACCGAGATGAGGTGGGTGGTCGCTGTCTTCCCATTTTCCTTTCACTTGTGAGATGACTAATGAGGGTCTGTGATTTTTACAGAAAATTTGTACCTTGCTGCTCCTTTTGAGTGCTTTTAAAATGCAGTTGTCAAGTTGAGTTTCATTCCTTTTCAATAGAAAATATAGGTAATTGCTATTTCATAGTCTCTCCTGCTGAAAATGGGAGTTTGTAGAGTGTCTACTTTTTATATTCTGCAATGCTCAGATGGGTGCCGCTCAGGCCTTCCTCTGACTACCAACAGCTTTTGGCTAATTCCTCTCATCCAGCTGAGAGTGCCAGTACGCCATATGAGGGTAAAAGTACTTTAATAAATTACATATTGTGCTGGGGCAAAGGGGCAGAAAAGTAATTGGTTATTTGTGAATCTTGATAAATCAATTTGTTTGACTTACAAATATTAGTGAATTTTCATGATTCATTGGTTTTTCTTAATCCTCAAAATAAGCAACCATTAGCTGAATTCCGTAGCAAGCAGTATCTTCCTTGGGGTACTTTGGTCCATGTGAAGACACCCATGAAATAAAATTGTCTGAGCAAGATGCTGGGCCAACACCTGAGAGACAGTACGTGATGAGCCTGGGTGGGTCTCAGGCTTGCCACTTTCATACTGTCCCCAGGCTGGCTTTGCTACACGATGACAAGAGTGCATTAAAACTACCCTGGACCCCTTTTAATGAGAACCTCTCATTCTGCCCACTAAGTTTGGTAAGAATAAGATCATTCCCCATCTGCCCCCAGTCTGTTCTCTCCTCCACAGAATGCCAGAGTTCTCCAGGTTAAAACACCATGATCATGTGCTTGACCTCTAACCTAAAACAAAACAAAGGGAAACACTACAACAAACAGACACAAATCCCAAATAGTAAACAACCTTTGATAAATCCCTTCCTTTACTGGTATTTTTTAAAATGCCAATAGGATTTAAGTGGTCTGGGTTGAGGCCTAGTCATGGATATTATTTAAAAAGTTCACCAGGTTTGTAGCGAATACTCAGCATTGAAAACCACTGGAAAATCGAGCTCCTTAGCCTGCCAGTAACACTCCTACTAGGGAGTGACTTTGGACTCAGCCACCACTTCTTCCTCCATCCCTTTCCTCCTGCCCTCTCTCAGATCACTAGGGTTACTCATTTCCTGCTCTTGCTGTACAATTTCCTTTGCTTCTCTTTCCCTTCTTTACTTTTCTTTTTAGAAATCATATGTCTTTAATAACTGTTAGGCTCTTCTCATTTTAATGTAATATACCTTTGTTTAGGTTTCAATATTTTTCATCATTTGGGGATTTTTGGTGGTTAAATTTTTTTTTTGCAGTTTTTGGCGGGGGCCTGGCTTGACCCCTCCACTTGTGGCATATGGGGCCAGTGCCCTTCTCCTTTGAGCCACAGGCGCCGCCCAAATTTGTTTTTTTTAAGAATGGTATATGCACAATATAAAATATTTTAAAACTCTCAAGTAAATGAAGTGAAATATGAAATTTTCTCCTCCAAAAGTAATTGCAATTATTTATGTTTTCTTCTAAGCTGTTTTGAATGCTTTTTATGTTACATAGTCCTCTGCAGTTAACTTGTTTTCATAAATATTCACATTGTGGGCTTGCTGTATAGATCTATCTCATCCTCTTCATGTGCATGTGCCATAATTTGTTTTTAGACTTTTCTTTAATCATAGATATTTGATACAAAGGTATTTGTTATGAATCCACCCTCCAGTAAGATTCTTTGTACACATCTGTACAGAGCCATAGATAGACAATTTTGGTTAAAAGATATGCGCATTTCAAATTTTGATGGACAGTGTCAAACTGCTTTTTAAAAAGGCTTCTCCAGTTTACACACTGCTATCAGCAGTGTATCAGAATGCCTGTTTCTATGCTTCGTCTGTGGTTTGGGTTTTGATTTTGTTCCTAATCAGATTAATGAAAATGGTAACTCACTGTTTTAAGTTATAGTTCCCCTTCACTGTTACTTCTTTCCTCCCTTTATCCCTTCTGTTGTATCTTCTTTTATTCTTTCTCCCCCTTATAATAAATATATTTAAATATTATATATACGATATATGGCATATACATATAACAAATCAATATATTATTCTGTGAATTGCCTTTGAAAAAGATGGTGGTGTGCCCTGTACCCTAATGTTCTTGCTTTATGTTTTCATTCTTCCTGCAGTGACACATCCCCTGCTTTTGATAATTGTGTACCGCCTACCTAAATCTACTTTATCCTCTGTTTAAACCATCTTTTACCCTCAGATGCATCTTTCTCTGGTGATAAAAATTGTTCTATCTTCTGAGTTACCACTTTGTACAGTGTCTATTATATTTTTACTAGTTGTTTGTATGTATTGAGTTTCTCTGGTTTCTAATACCAGGGGCATAAATCACTTCTCCTAAGCTGAGTGAGAAAGCTATTCCTGCACAAGTGGTCCTTGTTCAAAGCCCTTGAAATTACCTTACACAAATGGCTTCCTATCTAGTATATAGTCTGCCCTGACCTAGATTCATACATGGCATAAGAAAAGGAATTTAAGTGTATTTCTCCCTGGTCAGGATTATCAACCCACCTGCACTCTAGGTGGAATAAAGGAGAGGAAATTTGTGGGTGGATCTGGTTAGATGAGCGAGCGGATAATGGACCTTCTTGGGGACAGAGTGAAGCTGCAGAGGCCTGTGATCTACATTGACAGACAGGAGAAAATGTCCTTGTGAAGACCCTAAACCATGAGACGTATGAGGCTACATATGTGATTTGTGCTGTTCCTCCTACTCTGGGAAGGAAGATTCACTTCAATCCCCTCTGCCAATGAGGAGGAACCAGCTGATCATGCGTGTGCCTCTGGGTTCTGTTATCAAGTGTATAGTTTACTACAGTGAGCCTTTCTGGAGGAAAAAGGGTTACTATGGAACCATGATTACTGAAGAGGAGGAAGCTCCACTTTCCTACGTATCAGATGATACCAAACCTGATGGCAGCTATGCTGCAATAATGGGATTTATCCTTGCCCACAAAGCCAGAAAGCTGGCACGTCTTACCAAAGAAGAAAGGATGAAGAAACTTTGTGAGCTCTATGCAAAAGTTCTAGGATCCCAAGAAGCTCTGAAACCATCACATTATGAAGAGAAGAACTGGTGTGAGGAGCAGCAGTACTCCAGGGGCTGCTACACCACCTGCTTTCTCCCTGGGATCATGACTCAATGTGGAAGGGTACTGCACCAACCAGTGGGCAGGATTGATTTTGCAGGCACTGAGACTGCCACACACTGGAGTGGCTACATGGAGGGAGCTGTGGAGGCTGGGGAGAGAGCAGCCCGAGAGATCCTGTATGCTGTGGGGAAGATTCCAGAGGATGAAGTCTGGCAGCCAGAAGCAGAATCAGTGGATGTCCCTGCATGACCCATCACTACAACCTTCTTGGAGAGATATCTGCCTCTGTGCCAGGCCTGCTGAAGCTGATTGGATCGACTGGCATCTTTTCAACAGTGGCTCTGGGCTTCCTGGTGCACCCAAAGGGGCTGCTTGTGTGAGCCTAAAGAGAAAGTGTCTTAACCGCACCCTCTTCCTACTGTATTTGGGGTGTGGGTTTGGGGAAGGGGTTGTAATAAAGTTCCCTGAAAACATAAAGAATGGAATGAGGCAGGGAGCATGAAGAGAAGTCCGACTCTGACTTCTTTATCTCTTTCTCCATTGTGGCCCCAGGTTAGGGTCCCTTACCTGGCTTAGCACTGTGTTCCACCAATTTCTAAGTTTATTGTTCTCAGCACCTTTAGAATAGTTAAATAGGCTTGTGTGCTGCCCCACATTACACCTGGTCCGTGCACAAACAACTAGTTTCTTCCTCCCTCTGTGGCTTTGTGCTTGTACTTTGTCTTTCCTGTAATAGCCTCACCTTCCCTGGTTTTTTGCATTTGTTTTTAGGATCGTGTTTTGTTATAATTGGAAGACCTCAGAGTCTCCTCACCTAATCCTCACCTTCTGTTTTAGAGCTGAGCAAACTGAAGTTTATAGAGCTGGAGCTCAATTGCTCAAGGGCCATAAGAAGCCACTGGTATCTGGGGAATGAGAACACATGATCGATGCTTTTCCACCTTCCCGGATGTATCTCCCAGTTGCTCTCCTTAACTCCCTGTCATAGTCCCTGATGGTGTCCCCTTGTGTAGGTTTACTCTGTTCTGTGCTATCTTCCACCACTCAAATGCTACCCAGTAAATATCTCTAAGTCTTACTGTCTTGTGCAGAGTGTATCAAGTTGATTTTAATTTTTTTAGGGTAAGGATCTTGTCTCTTTTTCCTTTGGTATCTTCCATTCTATCCCAATAAGGGTCAGTATACACTTGGCTAATTAAAAATAAAAGTTGGTTGAGTTGGAAAAAAAAATAGAAAAGGAAGTTAAAAGCTTGTGCTATTATTTTAAGCACCATGAAGATAAAAAATAAATCCACAGATCTATTGGGGATTGAGCTAATGTTTCCAAAAGGTAGAAGAAAAGTTGACTACAGTCTATTATAGCCTACGAGATGTAGTTTAAAGGAAAAAGTTCAATAACAATATTAACGCATCATATTTCCAAGTAGCAGAAACCTATCCTTATTTGGATATCTCTCTATCCTTCACCATGTTTGAAACATAGTAAATTCTCAATTAGTCTTCTTTGGACTGACTGAGTAGTTTACAGTATGAAAACTCCCTGCATATTATATCAGTTTTGATTCTCACTGTCTTTGACACCTTATAGGTAAAGTTTGGCAATTGTGGTAGAATATGTAATATTTTTACATCATAGCTAAAGGGATTGAGTCAAAGAGTAGCCTATTAAAATGGTCAAAGACTAGCCTTAAAACCACTGCTACTAACTTGTAAATAGATATTAAGATAAAAACCTAGGCTTTTTGATGTTTGCCTTTCTAGAATGGGTAGATTTTCTGAGTTGGACTTTTTACTTATCGTATACAATCTCCTCTACCTATAAAAATTTAAAAATTTAAAAAATTTTTTTAAAACCTATAAAAATTTCTTGTGAAGAAATTCTGAAACTTAATTGAGTCTCATATCCATTGAGGAGCGGTATCTTACATGTCCAGTAAATGGCTCATATACCCTGCATACTCCTTGTAGAATTATATATCATCAGTGTTTTATTTTTCAATTTTTTTCCCTTTTTCTCAGGATCCTAGAAAACTTCTCTTCATGACTGGTAAGTTGTTATTCTTATCTCTTTATTTAGATTCAGGAGCATCTTTGAAAATAAACATTGTCAAATGGCACAGCAATTAGATACATTTTTTTTTTTAAAGCAGTCTCACTCTTTCTCCCTGGGTAGGGTGCTGTGGCACCATAGCTCACAGCAACCTCGAACTCTTGAGCTCAAGGTATCCTCTTGCCTCAGTTTCCCCAGGACCTTGAACTACTACAGGTGCCCACCACAACGCCTGGCTAGTTTTTTCTATTTTTAGTAGAGATGGGGTTCTCACTGATGCTGGACTGGTCTTGAACTCCTGGGGCAATTCACCCGCCTCAGCTTCCCAGAGTGGTAGGATTATAGGTGTGAGCCACCATGCCTGTCTTGGTGGCTGCTAAAATCTAACATCAATAATTTGCGTATCAGAGCAAATATTAGGAGATCAGGTGTAAGGTTGCAGTGAGTACAGAGGAGAGAGATAAGGCAAACAGTTGAGGTTTGAATGAATGGAGATTGAAAGTAAGAAAACACATTTCTAGGTCATAGGCTCTTCCAGGGAAGACAATGGGACATGCTTCCTTAGGGCCTGCTTTGTGCCTGCCGCTGTGGCAAGTGCAGTGGGAGATGGTGAGTGTGCTTGCAAAGTGTTGGAAGGGAACGCCAAGCACTTTGGGCATGAATGTAAATCTTACAATTCATTAATTTAGTAGGACTTTTGTGACTTTAAACCCTATAAAAAAGAGGTGAAACAGTCATTAAAGTGAGTTTTTTTAAATGTGTCTCCGATTTCATTTGTAATTTATTTTTCCTTCTCTAGCATATTGTCCATGAAATCTCTGTCTAGATTATTAATTTGTTAAAGCTCAACCGAACATCTCAAAATTTTCTATAGGTGTTATATGATCCTTACTAAAATTGTTCTCTTTCTCAACCTTACATTTATAAAGATAAAAGGAGAAAACTCCATTTTCAGGATTTTTTGCACAAATTTAAATTGCACAAAACTTTATGTCCATCCTGTATTTCAGAGACAAGAATGATTGCATAATTGAGATGGTCTATCTATCATGAACGTTTAAGTGTAATAGCCTATTAGGTGTAGCAGCCCGTATAGCCTGTGGCTAGGAGTGAGAGTTATAAGAAATATTTGTATAGCTCAATAATGGAACACGTTGGTGAAAAGGGCATGGAGAAGGATTTAGTTCTGCTAACAAGCACGAGAGCTTGTGAGATGAGAGCATTAGTGAATTGGCAGTCTCTACACCTGTGGTGTTGAGAGGTATGAGATCAGCCTTGTAGAAGGCTGGAGGAGAAGACAGTTGGGGGCGTGCCCATTCTATCACAGACCTGCTTACTCTGACTCTGTCTCCTCTCTGGGCTGCAGAATGCCAGCACGACAGGCATCTCTCTGCTGAAGATTACCAACCTCTACTAAAAACTAAGATCTATCTTTCTAAGAAGACTGCTTTACTCTAAGACTCTCTCTCTCTCCTGCTAAAGTAGATAGCCCTCAGGTACCTAAGAGAAATTGTTCCTGAGCAAGGTAGCTTAGCAGGCCATTTCTGGAACCTAGTTAAGCCGGGACCGAGACGTGGCCAGTCCTGGGCCCTGACCATTAGGGACCAGAATTGCGTAGGGGGTTGAGGCACATTACCCTGTCCAATGCATTGTTTTTCTTTTGAATCATTTTTATGATGAAAAATAACAGCAATTCTGGTGCTTTCACCCTTCATGTCACAACTATATATTTAAATTTATAAAATGTATTTTGTTTTTGCCTATAGATTTATGATATTTGTTACTTGTAAAGTATTTCACAGTTTTCTCTTTAGTAACACAATTTAGTTTTGTTTAAAACTTTAATCACTGCAAACATGTTTTTCATTTAAGCCTCAAGAATTGGGACAAGAAAAAGGAAAGGGACAAAAAGCAGAAAAATAAAACCTTATGTATGAATCAATGCATTTTTTGCTTCATATGAATTCATTTAAAAGAAATAAACAAGAACTTTGTTGTAATATTTTCTACAGTACATGGTTTAATCAAAGCCTTGGAACATTTAAAATGGTTTTAAAAGTTTAGTTTACAAAAACATAAAAAGATTTGTTATATGACTAAGATATTACATTAAGGCCCTTAGCTTAGTTAATACTTCTATATTAGCAGATGACCTCTCTTATGAAATTCCACTACCTCATGTTCTTTACCAGAGGTCCCCATGCATGGTTTTGGACTGAGTACGGAAGGCTAATACTTAACTTGAATTTCTTGGCTTCTTCTCCGAGTCCCTGGGGAGATTTGGCAGTGTGTTTTACTAACCAATCCATGTACGTTGGGAGTTATTGTTCTACCCTACTGAACATCTTTTCATACTCTTGACCAATACTTTCTTGCTACTACCCCCATTTTGCCTAAAATAACCTACTTTCTTTTGTTCAGGTTAATGCCTGCTCCTCCTTGAAATTACAGCTGACATGTCCCATCATATACAAACTCTTCCCTAGCTCCACTAAGCAGACTTGATACTTCTTGATCTGGATTCCCAAAGCTACATAGTACAGTTGGCCATCCATGTCTATGGGTTCCAGATCCACTGATTCAACCAACCATAGCTGAAAACTATTTTTTAAAAAACAATAAAAATAACAATACAACAATAAAAATACAAATAAAAACAATGCCACATACCAATTATTTATGTAGCATTTAGATTATGTTAGGTATTATAAGTAATCTAGAGATGATTTACAGTATATGGGTGGATGTGTACAGCTTATATGCAAATATAATAGTATGCCATCCTTAGATTTTAGTATTCAGGGGGGTCCTGGAACTAATCTCCCAGGAACACTGAAGGATGACAATAAAATAGAGTATATGGAATAGGTTACTTCCTGATACATACTGTTCTTTCCACTTGTAGATGAACTTCTCACTTCTCTGGGGTGGGAGAGGGCTGCTTCTAGGGTGTACAGGATTCTAGGCAAAAATATTTTGCAGGGCTCTGTCCATATAAACAATTTACGTCACCCCAGTCAGCAAATGAACATCATTTTGTTGTTATAGTCTCATGTAATTTCAGAAAAGAAATACTGTGCAGGAGTCATCCCTGTCTCAGGTGGTCAGCCTGGGACTGGGGCTCAGACATAGGGCTCCCTACATGTAAGTCTTGGGGCATCTGTTTGACCCCACTAAATAGTATCAGGTGAGACAGCAAAGTAAAATCTAAGGTGGGTAATGAGATGAGAAATGTTATTTTCTACAAACGGATTTAATCTAGTTTTGTATTACTAATAATAACTAAAACTAGTAGTCCACAGCCATCTTGAAATGTTCCCAAGTGCAACACTTAAGGAAAATTAAGTTCCTAATGAAGGAAAGCATAAAGAATGTTTGTATTAGTTAAGATATTTCTTGCAGTTTAGTTTGTTTAATGTCACATAGAATCTTCTATCTCTTTGTGTTTAATTTTTTTGCAGTGGCAGTACCCGTAGCTCAGTGGGTAGGGTGCTGGCCACATACACCAAGGCTGGAGAGTTCAAACCTGGCTCTGGCCAGCTAAAACAACAATGACAACTACAACAACAACAAAAACATAGCTGGGCATTGTGGCAGGTTCCTGTAGTCCCAGCTACTTGGGAGGCTGAGGCAAGAGAATTGCTTAAG